AGAGAGACGGAAGGATGGAGGAAAGACAAAGAGCGAAGAGGAGAGGAGGGGGAGGGGGGGAGGAGGGGAGGGGAGGGGAGATTGTTTAAATAAAAAAGAGTGGGTTGTTTAGATCATGTAGAGAGTCTAGAGACCATTTAAAATTTCAAGACAAGACTGGAAAGAATGTAGAAAGCCAGGAACCCAGCGATATGACAGACAACCTGGCCCGTGTGGCTGAATGGTACTACACCCATAAATTGTTAAATAAACAGACCTACGTTAGAACTTAAAATCCATACGGAATCAGATGAACATCATGAACTATATAACTCCGATGCATCAACAAGCACAGAGCATGTTAGCCACACTTCACCTATGCCTTTTTTTAAGTTCTTTTTTTTGCCTCCCCACCCCCCCTCTATTACCTCTAGCAAACTTAAAGACTCCCTGATGAGCTTCTCTGCCTCTTTCACATTTCCCATCAGCCGGATAACCTGCAGACAAAACGAAGATGAGAACAGCAAAACTTTTGCATAAGGCCTTTTTTTTAAGTCTTTTTCCCTTTCCTAATACTTTTTTAATACCCTTTGCAAGTTTTAATACTCCCCCCCCCTTTTTATTGAGTATGTGCTTTCGAAAAGGCAATTCCACATAAGGCTACAAACTTACAAAGGCTTGAAAGTTGAAAGCCACATGGCAGAAGGTTAAAAGCCCAGATTGCTGCAGACAAAAAACCATTAAACAGGAGTACACTGAGTGTGTGATGCATGCTACATGTACTGTGTAACTCTACTCTTCTCAGAGACTCTTAAAGGTCACACTTACAACCACTCTCTGTATTTCTGACCACTGATCCTGGTAGTCTCATGTCCAAAACCAAGAATCCAGTTAGCTGGGATAATAACCCTAAACCCTAAACCTTAAAAAAAATAAAAAAAGACGAACGCAAGAAGAGAACGGTCAGCAGCAGCCGCAAAATGCTACCTATTCCTTTGCGCCCCCCCCTCTCCCCCCCTTCCAAAAACCAACCCAAGAAAAAAGATATAGGCTTCCAGGCTCTAGCCACATTGCAGACTTCAAGACAATAATTTTAAATTTACTGAAATATTCTACCAAGTACACAACGACCTTAAAAACATTTCTGCGGATGATCTATATTCTCTGCCAAGAGATCACTGACAGATTGCACACAAACATCACTCTGCTTTTTTTTTTTTTTTCCCCAAAAACTCAGAACCTCAAGGTTCTGGCTCCTACCATCCTGGGGAGCAACAGTCCGGTTCCTATTCCCTCGGCAAGTCAATGATGAATACAATAAGGATGCACATACGCTCCTCCCCATTATGGCTGAGAGGCCCGAGTGGACGGCATTGATTACTTCCTTTTGGAAGGATGTACCACCCCTCACCCCTGCCTAAGTTGGCCTGCTTGACTTAGGTCCTGACACTGTGGGTAGGCTGGCTTCCGCTACTTCTGTTTGTGGGGCATGCGGAGAATCTGTGTAGGACTTGACTAGCTTATTCCTCTCAGTTGTTCGGCTGTCGGACCAGATTTAAGTACTGAATTTACTGTCCAGACTCGTATACTGTTGGTTTTGCTAAGTCGGTAGGACCTTAGGTGTTCCGGCATTTGATGACGCTTGAATTTTCCGTTAGTCTGAATTTGTAGAGAGCTTCTAAAACCTCTGCCCTGCACGCTAAAACCTAATCCCTTACTCTCCCTCTGCTTCTGTCCGTGTTTCTGGACTTACTGGTGCTGGAATTGCAGGTGCATTCTCCTATGGTGAAAATCTATATGGGCCGTGCTCTGTGGGGCTGTACTTGCTGTGTTCCTTACCAAAAACCCTAAACCCTTGCTCTCGTGGTGAGAATCTGTACGAGCCGTGTTTTTGTAGGTTGTATCTGTTCCTGTTGGTATAGCCTTTTCCTTGTTATAGCAGTTGGCCGTTCCCTACGTTGATTCTTGCTTTTTTTTTTTTTTTTTTTTTTCCCTACTCTAGCACATAAAGAGGAGCGTCCCCTTTAATTGTCGAATATTTAGATTTGTTCATCGGGTCTGTCATATGGTCCGTGATTGTGGTGCGCTTCAGTTTGTGATCTGGGTGTGAGTGGAAGGTTTCCTGGGACCTGGATACTGTTGGTTGGCAGAGTGAACCAGTCTTTCAAGACTAGTCTGTTTCCTTCTATCATGCCTAGCTTTCCCCCTCCTAGTTTTCCCACCGTAAATCTTTTAATACTCTCAAGCTTTTTGTCCGGTGCATTTTGTATTTGGTTCTGAGCTTTTTCCAGAAGGCGTGGAGTTCAGTTTCTATTAGTTGCTTGATAGTTATGAGGGGGTTTTCGTGAATAGTAGGGTGATCGTCGAAAGTCAGGTCGCACCTCCTTTCCAGATCGCCCACAGAGAGGCTTTTCTGATTAGTGAGAAGAAGAATAGGTCGAAACCCTTGAGCTGGGGGATTTGCTCTCTGTCTAAGTAAAGAGTGCTCAGGTTAATTTGTAGTGTTCTGTTTGAGTATTTGGACCATGTCTGTGCTACCTCATTCCATAGGGCTTGGGCCTTTTCGCATTCTAAGAAGCAATGGTTGAGTGTTTCCGTAGCTCGTGCGTTGCAGACTTTGCACCACGAGTCTTGATCAGATCTGTCTTCCTTCTTTCGTCTTCGTGCTAGCCAGTGGCTTACCGGGACTGCTCTGTAGGTGATGAGCCAGAGTAGGCTGGCCAATTTGACTGGCCTCGTGCAGAAGATCGAATGCCAAGAGGGTTTGAAGATCGTGTTGGCTAGTGAGCTTTCTTCCTTTTGCCATCTTTTCATCACTATCTCTGATGTCTTGAAGGGAGTGGAAAACAGTTTGTAGCCCAGTTTAGGGGTGCATTCGGTTAATTTGTATCCACGTACGGCGATGCGTGCGGTTTCGGGATTGCCCCACGACCATTCGGTGGGGTCAATTTCGAGGTGCGGATGTCCAAGTCAGGCCTATATACTCTATTTTGGTCGCTTTCAATTACTCTGATCCTTCTTAAATTATTTATTTTGAAGGTTCCCTCTGCTCTGCTTTCCTTGTTGATGATTCTCACCGGATTGCCTGGTTCCTCCAAGGGGTAGATGCTGCATGTTACCCATTCGTTGTTGTACAAGTCAGTGTTTAGTATTCTTAGTATTCTTAGTATTTCTGTTATGTTGGACTGGTTCTTCTGACTGGCCCAATCCCCAGCTACCCATTTTTGTTCCGATTTAAGAATGCGTCGCCATTCTATTGGGATGCTTTCAATCATAGATGATAGGTTGGCTTTTAAATTGTGGTTACCTTTTAGGCTATTTCTGAGATCTTCTTCTTCCTTCCAGTTATTTGTTGAATCGTTCCACAGATGTTGGATTTGCCAAATTGCAAGGAACATGAATGTGGACGAAGCACAGAAATCCAGATTACAAAATCACACTGAAGTCCAAGTAGTCAAAGCAAGAGCAGATAGCACAATGGAACCGAGTAACCATCCATTTGAGAACGATACAGAAGAATCGTGAGTCAATGTCCAAGCCCAATCGGGCAACACCAACAGCATAACCCAATGTAGCTCTCTCTCTTGAATGGCGCCMGGCGCCCTACCTACTCTACAGCCTATCACTACAACTACARCAWGGAAGCAACCAGACAACTTGACGACCAGCGAGTGATGATGTCAACACCAATGCCGACCTCCTCTCCACCAGGTACGTCCCTCTCTTCACCCTCACTCTCCCTTGTTATCCCACACAGCGACCTTCACCTCCGAAGAACCACCTTCGCCCTTCACCTTCTCTGCGCCCACAGGCAGCCTGGCTATGGCCACCAGCGCCCTGCGCCCAGGCTGCGCTCTACCGCTTAGCGCCAGCCTGCCCTCCCTCAGCCTAGTGCAGCGCAGGCACACTCGCAATGCAGCAGCGTGCTGGCCTTGCTCGCAATGGCCAAGATCCCTGCCCACTCGCGCTCCCTGCCTATATGCCAGTGTTGCGTGTGGGCRGTCTCCCTTGAGCCTGCGCCTGGGCCCCAGTACCTGTACCCAGGCCCAATGCGGTTGGGGCCCAGGAGATGCAGTTGCGCCTCTTTCATCAAGGCCTGCGGCCAGATCCAGATAGTAGACCGGTTTCCCATTGGCATTTTCGGCCTCTATATCCAGCATGCATTGTCAGCCTCACGTTTATGTGCCCAGGGCCTAACCAATTCTGGGGCACTGGGATTTCTGCATTTGCAGAGATCCAATACTCGGTGCACTCCGACCAACTGGCGTGCGGCAACTGTATGGACCCCACTTCGTGATTTGCTGGCCCGCCTTCACTTAGGGCGGGCACGAGGCTTGCTGGGGGCCTTAGCCCAGAACATGTACATCATGGCAAGGCCCCTTTTTGAGGGCTCAATCCTCACAAAATGCTTTTTTCTAGCCAATGTCCCCATTTGGCACTTGCTTTGGATAGAGAGAGGCTTTCGCCTTTGTCATCTTTGATCCAGGGGTTGCCAAAAATGTGCTGTCTTAGGACTTCATCTTTCCTTTTAGGGCCGAGCTTGCTGAAACCTCCAGTCGGCACTTTTCTAGCTGTTTGCACTCAGTCAGTTTACACGACACTTCGCAGACCACTCCACAGCAGTTCGATGCACAGACGGCATGAAACATCGGGAGATCCATCGAAGATTCAGAATAAAACACACATCCAACGCCCAGAAATCCATATCCGGTTAAACATCGAGCGACGCATGAATGAATAAGAAGCCCGGGAGTTTAGCAGGAATTTCACACACACAAAAACAAAAAAAAAACGCCCACAAACCGACAGTTGTGTAAACATCAAATGTTCAGGACTAATTTTACGAATAGCGCTATCATTGATATGTGTCACCGACTTGGACATTGCTAATGCTATAGCTGTTAGCAGAAAAATTCCCACCACAGCCTGTCTGGACTTTCATCCAATGACAAGACCAACCAAGTCCAGATAGGACCATGTTCTTTTCCTCAGCTGGACACGTTTCAGGACCCCGCCGCCCACCCCGCTATAGAGGGGAGTTGAGGACTATCCGCGAAGTTATCCAGAAGTGCAACTAACTGCAAGCATGAATTCGTCCAACATCCCGGCCAGATGAATCTGCACAGTTCAGACTCTTCAGAATCCAGACGGGGAATCAGCTTTGTTTTTGTTCTCGTTTATCCTGACAAAGGGTGCTTTTTTTCTTCCTCCCCCCCTCCGCCCCCCCCTTCCTCCCCCACCCCCTCCTTCCCCCCTTCCTCCCCCTCAAGGACAACAACTATTTTTGTGTTTATTCTTTTGACTCGAATTTAGCAAGGAATTTGGAGATGACCTTCCGTCTTGCAATGCTGCATGGCATATCATGTCATATCTTGTCAGTAAGTTTCTGCCAGATTTTATTTTTTGGAGTTCCTTGAAAAGTCAAAATTTTCCGGAATTATTATTAAAAAAGAAAAAGAAGATTGAATTCAAATTATTCCATATTTTAATAATACTTTTGGCTTATCTGGACATGCAGACCCAGACGGCATCCCAACATTCGGAACTACATAGTCAGGGACTGTGCTAACTACCGTCCTCACATGAATAGAATGCCCGGTCATTATCGCAGCATGTGGACCGGAAGTTGACCCAAATTCAGGGGTAATGACCGGCCGTTCTGTTCAGGTGAAGACGGTAACCCTCTATAACAATCTGAAGGCACTAATTTACTGATTGCCCCTCTGTTCACATGGTATGCGGTGGTCCTCAAACACAGCTATCCCAACCCTCGTAGATGCTCCCTTTGACTACCTCTTGTACTGACACCTCAACCATCTCTTGCTATCCATTACCTTCGTATCTTGACATTCTTCAAACTCATTTCGAGTTAATTCCTTAGATGTGCTCTTTGCGAATAGCAAGATGGTTGAGGCGTCACTGCAGGAGGTTGTTCTTTCTCGTCATACCAAGGTAGTAGAATTTTTGTTGGAGATGCTCCCCCATTGAGATGTCACGGACTACCCCCTATATGAGTGAACATGAATAGATAAATGCTCATAGCCTCATACTAAGAGGTATGGGACCAATGATCGCTTTCCTCTTCTCGAGCTTTCCCCACCTTTTCCTTTACTACTCTGAAAGTTTAACACAGTAAACAATTTCCCTTAATCTAAGTTTAACACAGTAAACAATTGCCCTTAATCTAAGTTTAACACAGTAAAAAAATTGCCCTTAATCTAAGTTTGACACAGTAAACAATTGTCCTTAATCTAAGTTTAACACAGTAAAAAAATTTCCCTTAATCTAAGTTTATTGACAGATATTCAGAATAGGACAAATCAAGAGGGTTAACAATTGGAAGGTACATGCCACTGCATGACCATATGAAGGGAGCACAGTGAAGAAAACCTCACCTCACCAAGGTGGAACAGAGTCAATGCATATTCAGGGTGCTTTTTACCAAAAGATGCCTCCTTCACCTGCATTCCCAAGCAGAGAACGAGGGGCCAAGGTCCGATCCATAATTAATTTTCAGAAGCAGTCGGTTTTCCAGAATGGTACGCAATATACTCCACAACAGCGACTGTTGAATCAAGACTTCACGACTTGAGCAGAAATGTCAGGAGCTAGCCCTAATGTTACTCCCAACAGAAAAGAGGGAAATGACACAGTAGCTAGTTTATCACATAAGCGTTATCCTAGAACACATGAAGGAATGGAAAGCGAAGCGTTCACTGTACTTTGACCAGGGAGAGAGTTGGGGGCAGGGGAACAGCCTGTGCATATGTTTGAGAAAGAATGGGGAAAAGGTGCACAAGAGGAACTCAGGGGTGAAGGTGGAGACGGAGAGGGCAGGACTCCGAAGGAGATAGCCAGTCCTGGCCTAGGATACGTCCATGTCCGCACAGAATCGAACCGGCACCCATAGCCGCATGAGCTAAGTCTCTTAACCACTACAGCCATGACACGGTGTATAAAGTGCCCCCGGTATGGCTGTAGTGTCCTCTCTCTCTCTCTCTCTCTCTCTTGCCCTCTCTCTCTTGCCCTCTTCCTCTTGCCCTCTCCCTCTCTCCCTCTCTCCATCTCCATGACACGGTGTATAAAGTGGAACTATACTGGTTATAATATCCACGCACACCTGCGTGACTCTCTCTCTCTCTCTCTCTCTCTCTCTCTCTCTCTCTCTCTCTCTCT